TCTGAAATAATGGCTGTGGCTGCGTAGAACAGATGGTGGGGGCAAGAGCTGCCAGTGGGAGCCATATTGTCCTGGCAAGGACTGCCCCACAGTAGGAGCCTGGCTAACTCTTATCAAAGGACTTGGCATAGAAGATACAGTCTGTGTGTAGTATTGAAGGCTGGGTTATGCTTATGGACTATAGGAAACAAGTCAGGTTTCTATGCATGTGGCATAGTGATTAAGCTTACCAGGGCTCTGGCTAGGGACAAAGAGTGCTTCAGTTCTCAATGCTAGGTCTCTTCCATGCTGTAGACATGCATTAGAGAATTATAATGAGCTTAATAAGTGGCCTTTCCCAGAGGACTGTCTGAAGATCAGATGAGACATGTGTAGAGGGCTTACCTTGATGCTTGGCTCCTTTTAATTGTACCTTTTGTTCTAATCCTATTTCTCCCCTACTCCCTACATACAACTATGTATAACAAGCAATTTGATCAAAATACTAACCAACCCACGTATTTGGTGCAGAGAACCAGTCTAGATAGCCTAATCACGCACACTTGCTGATACCATTTTTTGTTTGTGTATCCTTTTCGGAACTTTCAAAGGGAATGGGTAGAAGGTGGAGTGGTGTAGGGGGGAAGTTTTGGAAGTATGATTGCAGAATTGAGGTTACAGAAGCAGAAGGAGAGGTGGGGAGTAAGAGAGGGCTTAATACTCTGTGGTGGAGGATTATGGACTTGGTGGTGGGTGTGTTGTCATAACATAGAGTTGAAGAGATGTGAACCCTTGTCTTGTAGTCATGCACAGTGTTGTAAAACAAAGTTACCTCAATAAAAAATAATTATTAAAATCATGCATTCTTTTAAAAAAAGATGTCTATAATTTTGAAAAGATTATATTTCTACTGCTGATGGACTAAATTACAAAACAAAACTTGTTTGATTTTGAATCAGACTGTGTTTTTTATTTTTTTTAATTGTTCCTTACTGGTAAATTTTCCAACATAAAGAATTCAACCTAATGAAAGTTTTAACATTTTTTCTATGAGAAAAAGAATCCTTTATGCCAGTGATCCATTTATAGCTAAGCATTTCACATTAATCATGAGAGAGAAGGCTATAACAGCCTGATGATGACTCTTTCAAAAGAATATTACCACAGAGTTACACTATTTATACCTAAGTGTATGTGTGTATTAAATCTCCTACTAATTTTTGATGTCGTTTATTACTTCTTTCCCCCTTTAAATGCTAGCTAGGATTATGTAAGTATAGACCAACTGAAGGTTTTAAATATAATCAGTTACCCTTCCCATATTATGTTAGTAGTGAATCTCACCTTCTTGAACTCTGTTTTGATTCACAGTGCTCGTGATTAAGCTACACATCCTTCTCAGATCAAAGAAGTTCAGGTCATTGGGAGGAAAAATAATCAAAAATCAAATTTTCATTTTATGTGTTAGCATTCAAGAAGAGTGATTTAGAGGGCCCTCTCTCTGGAATTTGCATTGAAGTTCCAACGCTCTAACCTGGCCAGTCATCTGGTTTTGCTGCCTTCTCATTTTAATGGCCTGCACTAGTGCACTGAAAAGATTAGTTCCTATTGAAGGATTTTTCCCTTCAAATCAAAGGTTATTAGTTCTGATTGTCTATCGACTGGTTGTGTGTGTGTGTGTGTGTGTGTGTGTGTTGCCATGAACACAGATGGTTTTCAATTCTTTGACTTTGTGTGTTGATTTCTGGATTATTTCAACTATACCTGTGTCTTTCCTGGCAGAGGGCTGAAGGCAGGACTTGCCAAGCTCTCAGGAGTTGGGCAGGGGTATGGTATACAGTGTCCAGTGTCTGCACAGAGGGCAAATATAAAATCCTGTGTCAGAGATAGAGCAAAGTAAAGTGTGCTGTGGGTCTTGGAAGGCAACCTCAGACAGGAAAAGGCCACTTGGATTCTGAAAGCCAGAGATGGTGAGAATGATTTGAAATAGATTTGAAATAGATGTGTCTTCAGATCAAGAAGGCAGTAGACTTACCCACATTTGTTTGTGGGATGCTGTACCAGGGATGTTAAAGTTCTTGAAGTATCTTGGATAGATCAAGTAAAAAAATGAAGAGATTAGGAGGTTGAATTATTATCCTTAAGCAAGATTTTCCCTGATTGTTATTAATGATTCTCTTATTTAGGAAAATGCTACTCATTTGAAACCTGTTTGTTTTATTACTCAGAGTTATTTCCAATGCTGGCTTTCTTCCAATCCTGGTAATCCTCTGAGGTTTCAGAAAGATGATGTTTTTAACCCCTATTCCCATGGAGTAATTGGGTTTATGTATAATTTGATTATGTGTTAGCCAGTTATCCTATCACCGAGAATAAACAAGCCTTATAAAACTTACTTTTCTAATTCTGTCAAGATGTTCATAATTGATTTTTCCTTCATTACAAGTGAATATATAATGAAGATTTGTTGCTAAAAGCTAAAATAGACTGACTACATTTTCTACACTTTCAGGGATGCCCTTGAAGTCTACAAAGTATTTATCCAGTAATTTTGAGTAACAAGAACTGAGATAAATTATTGGTCTCAAAGAGGAATAAAGTCTTTAGTATTCTGTAGGGAAGTCATGTTTTAGAAAAATCACCTTAGACTGTATTTTCATCTGAATTTTTGAAGATTCTTTTAAAGATACTAGAAGAGGAAATATATTCTCCTTTATCAACATCTGGTCTTACTAATGTCTCTCCTTTTAGTAGATTTTCTTTAACTACAGTCAGTCTGATTTTATCATTTCCTATTATGCTATTCAAGGGGACATTCTTTATTCTGATAGGTTACTCTATACACTTGCCTATTTAATGTGAGGTTGACTTCAAAGCTGTACACTGTTTGCTCATCCTTATCATTTCTGTGTGAGGTTGAAGGTCTCATAGTCAGATGTGCAATCCATTTGAAGACTTCCTGTTACAAACATGCTTCATAGCACTATTTTATTGAGTCAATTTACAGAACTTTATTTTGAATTAAATGCTTTAATCCAGCCTAAGAATACAAGCTATTCACATGTGCATTGCCACTGGGACCAACTGAGCCTTCATCCACATTCAGGCTCCTTTTCTGTTCATTTCCCCTCATTTCTTCTCATTAGTGGTGTTGCAGATAGTGCCTTTCATGGTATATTGCTGTAAGGTCTCAGTAACTAGAGTTGGGCATCTATAAAACAAGTCACTCCGCTCTCTCTCTTTCTCTCTCTCTAGTAGAATAATTTCATCTTTACTTATTGGGAGTCCTTTTGAGTCTCCGAAGTTGTTCACAAATATGGTAAAGTCTAATTTTTGTCCACAAAGAGTAAGGGAGAATATTGCACTTTCCCTATCCAGAGAATCTAGGCTCCCCAAACTTTGATGCCTGTGTTTATTGCTTTCACAAACTGTGCAGTAGATGATGGCTTTATGTAAATCTCCCAGAATGCTTTGGAGAAGGAGCCAGGCTAGCATTAAAATCCCCTTGCATTAAGAGTACAGCCATACCTTACTTTATTGTGCCTTGCTTTTCACAGAAGCAGGGCTCCTCTTCTTTTCTTTTGTTACAAATTAAAAACTTCTGGTAACTCTACAGCCAACAAGTTTATTGGCACCGGTTTTTCAGTAGCACTTGATCACTTCATGTCTCCTTGCTCATTTATACATTAGTTTTTTTTTTTTTTTTTTTTTTTTTTGTTTGTTTAAAGACATAATTAATGCTACTGCTCACAATAGACCATAGTGCAAACACAACATTTATAGGCACTGGGAAAACAGACTGCTTGTGACTTGGCTTTAGTGCAATATTGACTTCATTGCTGTGATCTGGAACCAAATCCACAACAATATATTTGAGGTGTGCCTGTGACTTTTAGATTCAGGACTGTTGCATTTCTTTGAAAACTCACCCAGAGTGTAGGGAAAATTTGTCTTGCTTGACTCTGTCCTACTAATTCCAGAGACTGTGGCCTCACACATGTCTTTGCCTTGTCAGTGGCTCTCCAGTAGTGTCCTCCATCCTCTTGCTCTGCTCATTTTATAGGCCTATAGAAAAACTTTAAAAAAAAAAAAGTAATTCAGAAAATTTTCAAAATCATTAAAATTATTTTTAAAATTTAATCTTTATATATATATATAGATAGATAGATAGATTAGTGGATATGTAAACTCTTGGGAGTATATGCCCAGTTTTGTCTCCTTACCCTCCAAAAATAAACTACATTTTGGTATTATTCTATGCATTTTTCATCTTTACTATACTAGAAATTATGAATTTACCTGATTTTTTTTGACAGTCAACATGAAAGCTGACCCCAGAAAGTCTAGTGCTTTTTCCTTCTTGCAACTCTCTAAACTTTGTGCATTGACAGAATAATCCATCCTCCAGAATGACTCTCACAAGATCAGTTTGTTTTCTTTCCTTCCATCTCTTTTTCTAATAGGTCTTACCATCTTACTGTCAGGGATGGTGGGAAATGAACACTCAGAAAATGAAGAAAAACCTTGATCAGTTAGCCTTAAACTTGCATTTCTAGTTCTGGGATAAGTGATTGAGTTTTGTGGCTTAAATGCTGTACTATTTCCTTTCCAGACATAGCACACTGATCACAAATCATCCCAATCCTTTTGCTAGCAACAGAGGCACTGTTATTTCTCTATGGTAATTTTCCTGGCTTTTGACTTTGTCATAGGATGCCTCCCCCCACTTCTGAGGTAGGGTACTAAGATTAAATGATCAGGGCTTCAGTCCCTAAAAGGTATTTAAGGGCAGATGCAATATGTAGTCGTGTCTTCCATGGGCCATTAATGATTATTGTTTCTGTGAGAGAGCACCTGTCTTTATCTAGACTGCTAGCTAAAAGCACTGGAGTCTTGACTAGTAACAACTACTCACTTAAGTATAGGGCTCATTTGGTGCCAGTAACTGTGCTAAGTGCTTTGCACGTACATTCATTACAGATGAACTGGCATACTTAGTATCTCTGATTTATATTTTCAAGGTTGAAAATTGGTGTCCTCGTTTACCTTGGAGAATAAAAAATCCCTATGAAGAAGCAGATCATAATTCTTTGGTAAGTGCTCTTGGAAACTTCATACTTCATATCTTTGTGATTCAAGTCTGATACCAAGTAATACATGCATGTGGAGTCTTCTAGAAATGTCATTGTTTCTCTGAAATAGTGGTAAACTAATAAACCCTCAGTCCTGTGGAAATGTAGATGACCAAATTAGTCAACTAGATAAAACATAGCCAGCCAGCAATTCTCTGAGGGTTGCTACATGATGGGCTACTGATAGCAATACAAGCTGGTGCTAGCCTGAGTGATGTAATGAGGGTGTTGTTTGTAAATATGTCCATGCCCATGAAAATGCTTAGATACAAGTGACTGGAAATTAGTGAAGGGGTGATACCCTCCCAGGTATCAGGAGAAATGGCAAAAAGATGACACTGGAGCTGAATTTAAAATTATGTGTGTGTTTATACTAAGTAAGGGAGAGAACAGTGGTGCTGTTGTAAAGGGGAAATGTGCATGTAAACTAGCTTGGCATTTTCAGACGTTAGACCCTGATTTAGTGTGATAAAGTCACAGGGATTTAGATGAGCTGAGTTGAAGATGAGATTGGGTAGGTGAGTAGGGGCATGGAAGGCTGTGTTTGCCACATTAAAAACTAGTATCTTCATTGTTCGAACCAGGGATCAACAAACTTACTGTAGAAGAATTTCTACTGAGTATATTCATCTTTGCCAGCCATAAGGTCTCCATGACAACTATTGACTTCTGACCTTGAAACTCAGAGAGCAGCCATAGACAATACATAAATGTTTGGGTGTGGCTTTGTTCCAATAAAATTTTATGTACAAAAAAAGGCACTGAGGAAGATTTGAGCAAGAGTTAGACCCCATGCTGTAGACATGAGAATCTTGTGAAATTGTTGAGTCAAGGAGGGGCAGGAGCAGATGAACACTTAGAATGAACTGTGGTTATGAAAATATGGATTCAGGATGTCTCAGCTGTTACATGAAATAAATACAAGCATTACTATTTTTCTCTGTTATCAGTCACTGATTCTATCCAGCTATATTAGGACAGTGACCTTCCTAGCTTTTAAGCTACTCTAAAATTTCATTCAGCTATAGTTTGAAAATGGTACTCCTTGCTTTTAAATTCCTTAATAATGAACTTTTTATTGTTTAGACTAGGTAAAACTAAAAGGGCACACTGGTTTTCCTTCTTAATTTTGTGGACAGAATGATACTTTTTGGCAGTCTACACAATACTAGAGAGCCTTTTTAGAACTGACCTGAGTTTTTCCTGGAGTCCGCTGCCCTGCAATAAATTAAAAGGCCAATACATTTAGGTGCAGAAAATTTCAAGGTACATCAAGCATACTTATTATTTAAAAAATGCATTTTAGTACAGCTCAGGAATTTACAGAGACTGCCACCTTTTCAATTTTTAATTTTTAAATGATGCCCCTTAAAGCAGCTCAGCCTGAATCTCTGCTTCATTTTACAATCTTGGGACCTTAGAGCAAAACTGCAGCAGATCAGACTCACTTTTGAAGCCTTTTACTTAATTGACTGTTCCTTAAGTTTTCAAATGTCACATCACAAAATCCATTAAGCTTTCTGACTTTTTATCTTCTACTCATTTTTATTAAATTTTTGTTTCTAGGCAGAAATTCGTACGGATTTTAATATTCTCTATGGTATGATGAAAAAGCATGAAGAGTTCCGGTGGATGAGACTACGGATCCGGCGAATGGCTGACGCTTGGATCCAAGCAATCAAGTCCTTGGCAGAAAAGCAGAATCTTGAAAAGAGAAAAAGGAAGAAAGTGAGTTTCTGATTAATTCAGTTCAGTTAGATGCCAGGTTTCTTTTAAAATCTGGTTTTGCTTGGAAACAAGACTGAGAAGTGTCATGTCTCAAATGATGTTTCCTCGGGGTGATTCAGTGCAGGATCTTGTACTGCCATTTTTTGTGTTTTCCTTTCTCCAATTACAGCAGCCTTACTTAGCAAGGACTGCCACACATGTTTTTTAGTTGAATCTAAGCAGAATATCTGCCTGCAAGGTTTTCCTTTGAGGTATCTGACTGTTTCTGTCAGTGTTTATCCCATTCTTCTCAGAAAACTTAGCCCCCTTTCTTTACCTGAATAGAACCTTTGAGAATTTTCTGTTATGTATCTTGAGAATTTCATATTTTTAGAATTCATTAATTTGGAGACTGAGATAACAGGTGAGTTTCATTGCCTCTCTGTTTGATGCTTTTGCATATGTTGCTAAGAGACATAGTATAAGCTAAATTTGAACCAGGTTATTTCAGGTTCATGAGAAGATACATATAAAATATCTATAATACCCCTGAGCATGGACAATCTTACACCCTACTAGGTAGAGATAAAGTGCCCTTAGCTTTATATTAAATGTTCTGATGAAGAACAGCAGAGCAAAGTAAACCATCTGTTCCCCTACCTAAGAGTAAATTAAAAAGAGCTTGGTATCCCTGATTTACTAATTTGATATGGTCATAAAAGAAAATGCAGATACTTGTAAATCCCCAGCTCACAGTTGATGTGTCAGTTGCTTAAATCCCTTGAATTAATACGACAGTAGTACCAAACTTTATGGCACCAAATAGTTCTGTATTAAAGAACTATTTTTATAGGTGCGCTATAAAAACAATTCTTTGTCATACTATGAAGTAATCTCCAGGATATAGTGGTAGGTTAAGGACTGTTAGCTGAAGAACGGTAAATATTTTTTTTTAAGGGAAGAGGAATTTACACCTACATGTATAAAGGTGGATACTGATCATGGTTGCAGGTAATCTGAATGTATTTGGTGCCACTGAACTGTACTCATAAAAATGACTAAAATGGTTAAGTTTTAGGTTCTATATGTTTTACACAACAGAAAATATAAAGGGAAGAAATTGCATGGTAATATATAAAGATGTTCAACAACTCTGGATATCTTACTTTTTTGACACTGAAATTATTTTACATAAATATAAAGCTAACTTTAATGACAAAAAAGTAACAAAAATTCACACAAAAACAAAGCAAGTAAACTGACTGCATATTCAGTTTTGCTACAGACACATGGAGCATTCAGAGCTACTGAATGCTCTCCACTAGCTACTGAGACCATAAAATGGGCACACAGAGTGAAGTACACAGCACAGCCTATGATAAAGTTTTGCCAAAATAAAAATCTAATATGAATCTCACCCTGTCTGTAGATCTGATTACTAATTTACCATAAATACAAGGAAGAAAGGACTCTTATGCAGTCAGTAAATTTCAAAGTAGAAATAGAACCCAGTTTCTTTGCCAAGTAAACTATAAGGTCCCACTCCTCAAAAAAGGAGACAAGAGGCAGGTATAGTTTATGTACTTTATTGACCTCTGAACTGTTCTTGAAAAAAAGTAAGGGATAATTGAAGAAATGTAAACACTAACTGGATATTGAATGATATTTTAAAAAATTAATTGCTGTTTTATGTGATGGGGATGATATGGTTATGTTTTTTAAGTGAAGTTTCCTTTTAGAGATACATGATAAAATACTTGAGAAAAGAGTAAATCTAGCATGTGTTTCAAGATAAAAAGTAGGGATTATAGGAGTTTAGAGAAAATGACCTTAAATAAGATATGTCATGAATTGGCAATTGTTGAAGTTACTTGATGTATACATTGGGATTGATTATATTGTCAATTCTAATTTTGTTCATGATTTTTTTTTCCATGTTAAACTTAAATATCTCAGCTCTGGAATACCCCCAGTATTTGTTAAATGATACTTTTTTCTTATGAGCCATTTTTGAGTCTAATTTTTTTTAAGTATATTCTGCTTTACGAAGGCAGGATCTGCCCATATCTCATGCTCATTGCCAAAACAGGGCAGTACTGACCATATTTCTCTCAATCATCAGTGAAGAATCATTTCCTTCCTTTCTTTATACCTTCTAGATAAATGACTTATCCATATTGAGGTTTTATTAGAATGTAAACATGGCTTTAAAATTGTTTGACTTTTTGGCGTGTTACTATGGAGTTTGTACATGGTTCACTGGAAATCAGTATGTTTCTTCTTTTTTTTTTTCTTCAGGTCCTTGTTCACTTGGGACTCCTGACTAAGGAATCTGGATTTAAGATTGCAGAGACAGCTTTCAGTGGTGGCCCTCTTGGTGAATTAGTTCAGTGGAGTGATTTAATTACATCTCTGTATTTACTGGGCCATGACATTAGGATTTCAGCTTCACTGGCTGAGCTCAAGGAGTAAGAAGATTACTTTTCAATTTTAAAATCAGAATACAAAAAAGAAATTGTAAACTCTTAAAGCCCTCTATTAGTGTATAATTTCTTGCGGAGGAAAATGAAAGTGATAATTCACTAAACAGAAGATAAGATTATTTTCAGGAGCTAAATACATACACTGTGAAAAGGATAATATGTTTTCATTGTAGCTGTAAGCTCCAGAGGCTTCATAAATGAATGCCAGAAAATTCAAACTAAGGAGCTTATTCTTTGCTATTACAGGTGCTTCCAACATCTGCAGCACAAAACATTATTGACTTCCCTAATTCCCTGTCTCTTGTTGAAATTCATACCATTCCCTACTCAACATCAAGCTTTCTAAATCTTAAAACAGGGCAGGTTCCTGTTTATAATTTAATTCGGATAGAATGTATTTCCTGAAAGCCCTGATCCAATCCTTTTTCAATTAGCCAACTTTCAACTCTGAATCTGTTAACTCTACCTGGGTTTTCTGTTTCACTAAAATTTGCTTCTGGCTCTAGCCCACTCCTAATCCCTTTTAGATTGACACAGCTGGCAAAGCAAGAATGCCTAGATTCCCTTCACTCCTTTTGGATAATTACCCAGGAGACTTTCTACCCAAAAGCCTAATTGCCATTTGTCATAAGTCAAATGTTCCAAAAGATATAACTTGAATGAACATTCTAGAGATAAAGAAGTCACTTGTGTTAGGTTGCAGTCAGACACCTGGACTAATTAATACCTGATTGGGCGGAGTGTTGAGATAAAAGTAGTAGTATCAGTGTGATATTATCAGTTGTCACTGGTAGAAAGCTTTTCATGTGCCTAAACCATGATAATGACTATAGTTGGAAGATTAGTTATAACAACTGTTATAGATACTATTGATGATGAGGAGGAACGCCTGACATCTGTTGACTATCTATCTATGTACCAGATAGTAAACCATTACATAGTTTATTTAGTTCTTAAGGCAAACATGGAATTAGGTGCTGTTGATCTATCTTTTAAGGAGGAAACTGAAGTTCAAGCCCAAAATGGGTTTTCCCAGATCACAAGGTGAATACATAGGAGAGCTAATCAGGAGAGCTGACTTCAAAACCTGTGTTTTTACCCACTGTACTGTATTGCTCCTTTCAAACTTAGACAACCCTAGGGCATCTGAACCCTTGGTCACCACTCTTGTCCCTATAGCATGTTGCCTCCTGTCAGCCCTCCTGTTGCCACCTTGAAACACATTGGGTAAATGACAAATGAAGTAGATAATTTCACGCATTCAGTAACCAAGGGGTTGGTTCTTGATATGGGATACACAGAGAAGACCACATGTGGTCAAGGATACCAATCTTTTGATAATTACAACTAATATATAAAACGTATACCAATTACACTGTGATTAGTACTAATTGAAGTGTGGATGTTAGAATGTACGCATACGGTTGTATAAACCATTGAATGCTATTCATTAAATAGCCTGTTTTGCACCTAGAATAGTGCCTGGCATACAGTGAGTGTTTAACTCTTTGCTGAACAAAAGGGTAAATCCCTGAATGGGTGGGTGGGTGGGTGGATGGATGGATGGGTGGCTAAGTTGCAAGCACCTAATACAGTTGCTCTAAAGGGAGGTTAGAGCAGGCATATCAGAGACTAGCCTAGCAGTCAAATACAATTTGGTGGTCAGGATGAAGTCATACTAGTTTTTTTATACACTGATAACAATGTCAGATGTATTTTATGAAGAAGATAGTTGGGGAAGCAACTTATAACCATAGATCCTGAACTTAGTTGTACATTCGATTCCCCTGGAGATCTTTATAGCCTCCCTAAGCCCAGATCAGATCACAACCTTTGGGGATGACACATATCTTTTGATTCGCCTGGGTAATCTCAATCTGCAGACAAATTTGTGAATCACTGTATAGTAGGGTGGGCCAGAAGTCAGCAAAGTGTGGCTCCATAGACCAAATCCAGTCCTCTGCCTGTTTTTCTTAATAAAGCTTCCTGTGAACACAGCCACACCCATTTTAATGTATTATTTATGACTCTTTTCATTCTACAATGACAGAGTAGACAGGACATAATGGATAGCCTGCAGAGATAAAAAAATAATTGCTATATAGAACAAAAGTTGAATTCATGGGAAGAAATAGATTGTCCAGAACCTAAATAGATTCTCGAGAACCTAGCTTTTCCAGAAACCGAGAAGAGAGGACGATGCATGAAGTGGTAGCAGTGGAGTTGGGAAACAGAGTCCATTCTGTGTCTCTTGTCTTCTGGACTAAGATGGCCATTTCTTGGCAAAGGAATGTTAAATGGAGTGTGAACATGAGCAAGTGGCATCATTGATGACCCATGTCTGGGTGAATGGCATTTCTGTTCAGTTATTCTCACATGTGAATCTGGTGTATAGTGAAGTATGATAGCTCTGAATATATATTGGTGGATGGATGAGTAGGTGGGTATAGGCATGGAAACCCTAGTAACAGTTTTGTTGTACAATTTTCTAGAAAAGGGAAATTTTGACGTAAGGCAAAAAAATAAAAATAGTACAAGACAGTATATAAAGATGTATATACTATAGACACTGGAAATTGAAGACACTTAGGAACTTAGTAAGGGCAGCGGTGATAAGAACAGACTCTGGGAAAAGGCAAATGGTCATTGAGATACCTCCTATACATTAGGCACATTCTATTCAGTGCCTCATTTACCCTCTGGAAGAAGTCCTGAGAAGCTGGAATCGTTTATGGGATTTGTTGTTGTTGTTTTTCCCCCAGCCTTGGTGATTTTTTTTGAGGGTGAGGAAAGCTTCAGAGAGCTTAGTAATTTGTCTAAAATCTCATAGCTGCTGAACACATTCAGACCCAGATCTCCCCGTTTTCAATGGCTGTGTTTATACACTTCATATGAGTTTGCAGGACTCAGGATAAGTTCTCTGAATGGGTCTCGATTTGTGTGTAAAATTTGGATAGGCAGCAGATGGAGAACAGCTATGCCATTTTCTCTAATAAGGATTTTAGGATGTTTATTTAGCTTTAAAGTTGTTAATTGTGATACACTGAAGTAAATGGTTTCTACTCTCTACTGCCCTTTCTCTAGGATAATGAAGAAAGTTGTAGGAAACCGATCAGGCTGCCCAACTGTAGGAGACAAAATCGTTGAGCTCATTTATATTGATATTGTAGGACTCTCTCAATTCAAGAAAACTCTTGGACCATCCTGGGTTCATTACCAGTAAGTACTACATGCTGTTCTTAAGATTTTAGCACTGTAATAAAAAATAAAGAAGAAGGTTTATGTAGTTGTAGGTTGAAATCTTACTAAATGTTATCTTTTGAACCATGTGGAGTATGTGTCTCATTCCTAATTGAAATTCTGATTGTCTGTGGTGAGTTTTTACTTTCAAGGGCTATTCATTATCTTCATTGATTTCTTTTAAGAATAGAAAACAAGTGTTGAGCCTCTTTTTTTTTTTTAACCTTCCCTAGTATTTTACCTACTTCTCAGTATGCCTATACCAATCTCATCTGTTTAATCAAATAATGATTTTGATAAAAAATATACAGTGTCATTTCTTATGTTCTCTATGTTGAGTTGATGACTCATTTTGCTCCCCCTTTCCCTCATCAGAGTGCTTATCACTTTTCAGAAGAGAAAGCTGGGAATACCTTGTCTGAATTCTTGGGCCTTGTATGTTTTATGATTAAGACTCATAGTTAGTATTGAGTTCTGCCATCCGCCACATAAAGACAAAGCAAACTCCTGTGAATGTACTTTAACAGAAAAGGACTGTAATAGGATTAGTATGCATCTAGAGAAAAGAAAGGATAATAGTTCCCAATAAAACACCCAAAATTGGCCCTCCCTGGTGGCGCAGCGGGTTAAAGCACTGCACTGAGAAGCTAAAGCCACTTCCGCATGAGTTCGAATCCCGCCTGCCCCGGAGGAGACCACATGGCGTGGCAGACCTCTCCTGACCCGCCCGCTGCTCCCCTCAGCAGTGTACTTCGTAGATCTGCCTGTTCTGCTCCCCACTCTGTCTCTGGTGAAGCCTCTCACCGCCCCTGAGCCTCTGGCCTGTACCCCAGTTCTGTATGTACAAATAAATAAATCTTTAAAAAAAAAAAAACACCCAAAATTCCCTAACCCCTCCTGGGTAAATGCCCAAAACAGAGCCACTGAGGCCCAAAAGCATTCCACAAGTCTAAGGCACCTTTTGGTGGGGAACCATAGGAAAGAGGAACAAGGGGTAAGGCAAAAAAGAAAGGAGTAAAATCAAGTTACAAAGCAGCTTCCTTACAGGTTCCTCACCCACATTTCTTCCAAGTGTTTCTACTGATCTTGGCTCCCTATGTCTCTCTCCATCCATGTTCCCCAAGTCCAAAGCTGAGAAGCAAGTATGACTTCTTCACATGTGTCTTCTAGGTGTGTCTCCATATCTCATCAGCAAGATTCTTCTTCCACTCTTCTTCAGCTTCTCCTCCCCACTCAGCTCCACCTTTCATCAGGCAGGGCAGGAACATGGAACATTGTCTTTTTATGGACAGTACATCCTGTATCAGTAGGACTAGTCTGCATGAGTCTCTCTGTCCACAGTCTCTATGCTATAGAAGGAGAACTCACCCTCCTTTTGTGAGTGTTTTTAGGATCATGATTTAGTATTTGAAATGATTTTATGTGGCACTAAATAGTATTGAATTATGTAATGAAATACATTGCTTTTTAAAATTTTTCTTTCATTCTCTCTGAAAAAAACTTTGATGTTGCTATGTCTTCAGTACTTAATTTAACACTGGCATGCATTTCTAACAATGAAAGTAACTCTCTGCCTTTAGGAGATTAAATAGTTTCAAAAGAAGAGTAAAATACATAAAATACATTTTTTGGTTATCTTCTGTTTTTTGCAGTTGATACTGTATTTATGGTCTATAAAAGTTTCCAATGAGATTCAACAGATTTTATTTAGTAGTGTCAATGGTACATGAATGTGGGTAAAAATCACGAAGTTAGTAGCTTCTTTTTCTACTTACAGTACATACTGGCCTATAGTTTGAGTTCCTAAAATTCCACACTGTACATCTTTCAGTTAGTACAAGTTGGATATTCTCCCAAGTATTTCTTTTTTATTGTTTTTAGGTAGGGAGATATTTTGATATGTCATTCTGATAACTGATAAGTGCATCCTTAGTGACCTGAATTAGGTCTCTCTCTTTCAGGAGAGTTTATTGTCTAACATCATAAACTGTAGTCTGCAGGTAAGATTGTAAATCTGTTAGACATATGAGAGATATAAAAATTCAAAATATTGAGAATATTCTGAGAAATAGTGTGACAGCAATGCCCTTTTTTTTTGTTTTGTTTTGTTTTTGGTTTTTTGTAGCATTTTTTCAGTACAGATGATTTTCTCACTGGGCAATGAAACAACTCTGGTGGGCAAAGCAAAGGGACTGATTAAGAAGAGACCATGTGCTTTTCATTTGCTTTTGGATATAGTTTTATAAAAAGGCAAAGAAAAATCTTGGTTTGGGCTGGAATCACTGCATCCCTTCTGCTTCAGATATTTTCTGGTTTTGGGTTAATTTTTTCCCCTGCAATCTTTATGAATCATAGACCCTTTCATTTCACATTCTCAGTTATGTAGAAATATATTTTTCTTCTTGCTTAATAAGCAGTATAAGTAAACAAACATTTTTCTTTTTAGCTACAGAATTAGAAAAGAAAGGCAGAGCTGCTGTTTTCCGGCATTGTGAGAATGACAGGGATCTGATAAATGTGCAAAGGAACCAGGCATTGCAGAAATCCCCAGACTTACATATCCTAGCCATTTAGAAGACCTGTCTGGAGGAAAAATACTCTCAGCGGTAGTGTTTAGGTCAATTAAAAAGGAGGATTTCATTATTAAAATGGTCACTGTTGATTGGTATTTGATTCTTGTCAAATGGAAAGACTCTGTCTCAGAGGGGAGGTTATAGACTAGTGCAATGTTTATTGTCCTTCCTTCCTTTGCTAGATCATCTGTGTTAGTAATATTGGACAGCAGGAGATCTGGTGGCACTTTAGCCCTTCAGCCTTTGTGGTATGATGGTGCTATGATTTCATCAAAGGGTGAGACAGTAACTCTACAAAATTTCTTGCCCTTATCTTTCCCTTTTGCATATTAGAAAATGTCAGGGCTCTCCATATTCACCTTGCTTAATGTGAATGTTGTGAACTCCACTCCATGTAAAATTATCCTGTGGTTTTTCATTTAAGAACAAATCCTTAAACCCTGTTGATTTTTGAAAAATATTTGTAAATTCTGTTTAATTTGGGACCCACTCCAAAAAATGTACTTAAAAATGAATTAAAAACTATATATGACCTGTAAACTATGAGGTTTTGCAAGCTTACCTCCATTCTACATGATAGGAGGCATTTTGAGGACACACAAGAAAATGAGATCCAGATAGTGACAGGTATTCCAGGTTTTTCATCATACTCCAAATGAGAAAGTATGTCCTGACAAAGGCTTGGTGAGTGTCCATCGCTATTGGTGTGGGGCTTACAGCAAAGAGGTTGTTTCAGGAGTTATTTGACATTGCTGCTGCATCCTTCTTAGGGGGAGGCCAGTTGCCTCAGGAAGCAGGGAAATGTCTTTCTGAGTTTTCAGTCTGTGGCTAATGCTCCCAACACACAAAAGATGTTAGAGAAATGGCATGGATATTAACAACACAGTTCCAAAGTACACAGATGTACAAAGTGATTGAAGAAGGGAAACTAAGGTTCAGCCTCTTCAGTCTCCTTCCTCTTTATAAAACAAATCTAGGTAAGACTAAACAAATACAGTATGATTCCCAAACCAAAGCTTCAAGTAGGAAAAAAAAAACAGAAGTTTCAGAGACATCTGATCATTCATTCGGTAGCCTTCCATGAGGAAGCCCAGCATCATACACCCTGCATCCAGGTGCTGGGTCAAGTCCAGGTTTTCAGTGGCTAGGCTCCTGGAGGCATCTCCACTCATCAGGTCTTGTTTTAATTATCCAAATTATAAATACCAACAATGAAATTCCAAGTTAAAAATGGAGTCACAAGCTAGGGCTACAGAGGAATACGAATAGTTCAGTCATTTCAAATAAATGGAAGGAGCAGAAACCTTTAAGGCAAGATTCTTTAAGGCAGGATGGCCTGTTTTTCACTGCTGTGCCTGCAGAGTCCTGTCTTCTTTCTTTCCCAGTTCTCATCTGGCAGTGGGTATCCCTTGCCCTCCTCCATCCTGAGCAATGACCTTCCACAGAGCTGTCACTGTCATCCTTGCTGCTTTCTGAACATTACCATCTTTCCCAGGAGAAAATATATTGGCTTCAACCAGTTTTTGTGTCTCTTTTTAAAAGGAAAAAAAAATTAAGCTAAGAAATGAGATTATTTTATTAAGAAAAGGAATGCTCTCAGCAACTTAAGAGTAGAGAAAGCGAGCTTCACTGAGTTCCTTGGGTCCCAGCTTTCTTTTTCCTTGACTGTGCGCAAGCTTTTTCTGCCCGCATTATAGCCAGACTAACGACATGTTCTGGCTGATACTGTGAAAATTGTCACTATGATGATGACATGTTTCTCTTGATATCTCTGCCCTCTCCCTTCTCCCTTGCTTTCTCTCTCCTCTTCCTTATCTAGATAGATGGTGGTGATGTCTGATGAGAAAAATCATCACATTAAAAAGGTAGTTGACTATTGCTCTTCCTGGAAAATAAAATTGAGTGTTTGCATTTTTTTTTCTCTCGGTTGCACATTGATGTGAAAGTAAAAAGCTGGAAAAAAAAATGACTTCATAGTAATGAGAAAAGGAAGGAAGAAATGGAATCACATACCTGGGTCATTGCCATCATCTGATTCTAAAATGTGGTCTTTTACCTTTATTTTTATGCGTATTGGTCCAGTGAAGGAATTTAGAAGGGTTAATACATAGCCACGCAATGTAGTGTTGTTTTTATTGAAGAGTCCTGAGGTAATGTACGTCAGTGTATTTGGGGGGACTTGGTGATATAATGAATATAATTAAAATGAGTTGATTATCTTGTGATGTGTTCAGGCTATTTTGGTCAAGGGCTAGATAGTAAGAATTTTGTGCTTTTCAGGCCATTTGGTATGTTTCTCAGCTACTGAGCTTCACTGTTTTTATGTGAAAGCAGCTGTGGACTGCACAGAGCTGGGTGTGCCTGTGCTCAAGTAAGATTTTTATTTTTGAATCCTGATCATTGAATTTCATATAATTTTAACATGAATATTTCACAAAATAGTCTTTGTTTTAGCGATTTAAAGCATAGAGACTTACTCTTAGCTCACAGAGCATACAAATATGGCAGTAGATTAGATCTGGTGGTAGATCCATGTATTGTAAGGCTTTACTAGAACAGTCAATGACACAATTTTCATTTCACTTCTTTAGACTCTGGAAGAAAGCAATAATGTTAAGTTACTATTCTATATAAATATCACCACTGCCTATTTGAATGAGGAGTCAAAGTCTTATCTATGTGATAAGAATGTTGATAAGTATGTTGCAGGGATGTTGAAAGAGATAGGCTTGTCATGTGCTGTAAGTGGAATAAGTCTTCCATTTTAGTCCCTTAGGTTGCTGCAGTTACCAAGGACTGTGTGACTTACAAACATCAAGCATTTATTTTATTATATATTTCACATCATTCTTTTTGTACAATGTATGCTTTCTCCTCTCAGGTGTAGTCCCTGTAAAATTCCCAACAATTCACCCATGCACCATTGCCATAATCCCTTGTTCTCTTCCCTCTCATTTTGATCTCTCTCCCTCCACCTTCCCTGCAGAATATCTCTGGTTTATAGTTGCCTATAGTTTATAGTTAATTTTGGTTTCTTTTTAATGTAATTATTTTTGATCCCTTATTTAGTTCACCTACATTCCTCCTATGAGTGAAACTATCCAGTATTTTTCTTTTTTCTCTGGCTTATTCCACTGAGCATAATCCCATCCATTTCCATCCATGTTGCTGTGAATGGCATGAATTTATCATTTTTGATTGCTGAGTAATACTCTGTTGTGGGTATACCACATCTTTTTTGATACAGACATCTGTTTTTTTTTTTTTTT